CCCCCTTCTCCCGCCGACGGCCCTGCGCTTCCGCTGCCTCACCCCCGCCCCTGCCCCCCCCCCCCCCCCCCCCCCTCCCCCGCCCTGTCTGCCCCCCCCCCCCGCACACCCTACGTGTGTGCTCCACTTGCTCTCTTTTCGGCCCACCCAATTATCTCTAATTACCCCCTTCCCTTCCCTTCCCCCGCCCTGCGCTCCCTTTGCCCCTCCCCGGCCTCCGCCCCCGCCCCGCTTTCGCCCCCGTTCCCGCTCCTACCTCCGGCCCCAGTTTTTGCTCCCCATCCGCGTCTCCAGTGTGGCCCCAGTCCCCTTACACACGTTCAACGCGACATGAACGCGCCGTTGGAACGGCGGACTTGTCCTTTGCGTTTGCTGCCGCCGTATCTGGGCCAGATTCCTTGCACTTTCCTTCGTCTGCGCCTCACTCCATCTCTTCTGGCCTATTCCGCTCGCTCATGTTCTCCTCCTTGCCTCTCTCTTTTTGAGCATGCGCTGTCCCTTGCATTTTCCTTGATTGTATTTGACAGCGACAATTCAGCGTAGGAAGTGCTGATGCATGTACACCTACTCTCTCACTCTTCCCGCAAGTACATCTTTGTCGTTCATTTCACGCTTCGTGTCGTTCGTCTTGCGGTTCGTGTCCCTCAACATCCATTGTGAGTGCAGCCATTTTCGAACGGGCGGAAATGTAAGGGCGGGAGGACAAGGACGAGGAATGGGTGGCGGGAAATGTTCCCCAGCGAAGATGATATTTTTGTTGTTCCATGGATAATGATATTTTCGTTTTTCCATGGATAATTCCGAATGGTGTCCAGACGAATTTTTGTTGACAGCAAATTTCAATCTTCAGTGGCGTGGAAGCAGCCGAAGTTGGGGAGGAAGAGGGAGGGGGTGGGGGGTAGCGGGGGCCTGGGGGTTTAATTTGCCCCGCTGGTAATGATCTCTTGGTTCCACGTATCCGTCCGCAGTCTGGGGGCCTCCCTCTTGGGCCCTTGCCACGACATTGTGGTAATAGGGAGTGCATCTTCAGCGAGAATGTGGAAACGTACACGCGCTATCGTTTTTTTTTGTTTCACAATTTGACCTTGCATTAATCACAATGCACAGACCAGGTTCAATGCACCGACCAGGTTCAATGCACAGACCAGGCGTATCCGTGCGACTTTGAGTCTAGATACAGCAATGATGACCGGGCGTTCTACTCGAATAGAAATAGCCGTATCTGGACGAAGTTTCAGTCTACGTTCAGCGATTATGACCGGCCGTTTTTTTTCGGGTGAAGACGGTAGTCCTCCTGGGCAGGTTGCGCCGGAGGCCAGGCGGAGTAAGGAGGGCGCAAACGGGCATTTTCTAAATGGAGGGGGGCAAATATTTCAGAAAGAGGAAGAAAGAGAGAGGAGGGGGGGGGGGAGGAGGAATGGAAGCCCAAAAGTGATTTGTCTTTCAGAATGAGGAAGAAAGGGGCGGGGGGGGAAATGTCAGCCCCAAAGTGATTCGAGCAACGCAGAGATGAGACGCGATTTCTGCAGTTCTTTGTTTTTGGAGCAGATTTTTTTTTTTTTTTTTTTTTTGTTTGTGTTGAAGGGGAGCAGATCTTTACCTTACCGTACACATGCCAGAAGGGGAAAAAAAAAAAAAAAAGACAATAAGAAACAATGTCAAACCAGGGATAATTGGCATTGACTGATTGATTGGTGACTTTGTTTTTCACAAATGTATTTTCTTTGATGCAGGCTTCTGCTCGGGGATTTCCGTTGAGGTTGTGTGCGTCGCAGCGGTCGGGATCCCGATCACTCTCTTTTGCCGCGAGGAAGAGTGTGTGGAAAGTCTCTACGCGGAGGACGACAGTCAGATGTAGTGCGGTGAGAACACACACACACACGCATACAGACACACATGGGGTGTTCAGTCTCCTGACGAGCCGATGAAAGTCCGACGACGAAAGAGTCCGCCGCCGTCATATATGCTTATCGGCCTCGCCGCAGAACTCACCCAATGTGCAGAGTGAGAACGTATCTTCCCCGAGAACGTCGAAAGAAACATCCACATCCGCTTTATTAGTTTAAATTGTCCCTTGCACATTTGGCGACGGGTGCGGCGAGGGGCCGTATGATGGATGTCTCTGGGTCATTAAATAATAAATACAGACCGAGGACCGACGGAAGAGTCTTGACGCAGTCATGCTTATAGTCAGATGAGCATCTGTGTGCTTTAAGAACAAAAATACAGACAGAGTTCAAGGTGTGTGATGAGTGGATGGAAGTTATTATACGTTATATATTTAATTCTTAGGTACAGTTTAATGCAATTTATTATCATTATAATATAATATGAGTAATATATATCTATGTCATCTAACATGGATGTTTGACGATCTATATGAAAGAAAAGGGACTGAAAAAGAGAAAAACAAGGAGCACAGCGCGATTCGCGCCTTGCGGGTTCGAATCCCGCTATCTACAACAAATGCAGAGGGAGTCCGACTCCTTCTGATGAGGAATTGATTATAAGGTTCGATGAAAGTTCGACGACGAAGAGGGTCTCTCTCTGATGAGGCGATGAAGGGTCGATAGAACGCTCGACGAAAAGGGTCTGATGAGGGGTGGGGATGTGTTCTATTCGAGGGATTGCCTGAAGTGGTCCATTTAGAACTGACAACGTGACTGCGCCGTAGCTACCCTACCCCAATAAGGAAAGGAAATGTGCACCTGCATATCAAGTGCATCTCATCTCAACCAAGAAAGACGATGGATGACAACCGGTGATGTGTTCACAGACAGCTTTGTGGGTCCCGCGCGGGGCTGCCAGGCAGAATTCTTTTTTTTTCTCTGTATCGTTCCTATGTCGCAGATGTCCCGATTGACTTTTGCATGCATTTGCGTGGTTCGAGGATGATGATGATGATGATGATAAGAATGTAGTGCAGCAGTGTGACAATATATAGTCATGGGCGCATATTACAAGCATGTACTGATAAATTCAGTCACCAGTATGTGCATCTAAATGCGCAACATTATTTGCCTCGACCCTTCTTCCTTCGAATTCCACACTTGAAAATAGGTGGGAGGAGGGAAGGGAGGGTTGGGCGCTTCCCTCCTTTGTTCGGTCTGCTGCCGATCTATGTGGGACTAGTCTTAAAGTCGCACTCAGTCCATGATCGGTAAATGCGACGGAAGGAAGACATGCATGCGTGCATGTGTTGTATGTTTATTGGACTTGATTTATTTGTACTATTTGTAGCAGCTCCTCTAAGAGGGGGGCGGGGTGCAGGGGGAGAGGGGGGGGGGGGGCGCTTGGGGGGAAAGGATGCAGTTTAGCCTTGTATYTCTGTTGTTTTGGACCGTTTGGATTTATTGTTGATTGGGTTGTTTTTGTTTA